GAAACGTTTGCAAACAAATCGCTAAGCTCGGCGAACAGGCGAAATAGAGTAAAGGAACCTTGATTAGTTTGGTTAAACAAGGGAATATAACGGTCCATTTCGAGTGTAATCACGATGCATCTCATAGGCACCGGTTTTTTTATCAATTACGGATCATTCCAACGTCAAATTAACTGAGGAGTCTAACGCAGTAAGGGAACGTAAGCAGGCTCTTTATTGCATATGTGCAATTAGTCACCTGGTTTGAGCAGTCAGTCAAAGGAACTCACGTCAAGTCGTATTCAAAACCCACTTACTACCTAAATTATTAACTTCGTATTCTAGGGCCACGGGTAGAAAGTGGTTAGCTGATTGTGAGGATTCGAGTTTGAGTTTAGGAAGAGCTTTGTTAGGAAAACCAAAATGTGCGCAAAATATGGCAAAAAGATCAAAATGGACCGATGCTTGATCGATTCGTCTTTTTGAGGGAAATTGCAGGAACTTCAGTCAGTTTCAATGCCAATAAGGTGATTGATTCAGACACGAATAACTGTGCAATTCAAAAGATGGAGAAATGAATTAGCGACTTTTCAGAAATTAGTCCCAACACTGTATTGGTTTGCTCACCCAGAGTACCTTTGTTGAGGTTCAACTCGTCGCGTGTTTCGGTTTCGGCATCGCTCGATTTAGATGTTTCATGATTCGGTTCCTTCTGTATCTGAACAATAGTTGAGTCTGATGTCGCCAGTGTATCAACAGGGATAGCTGACATATATCCACTTTCCTTCCCGCTCTGATGGACAGTATCATCAGATAATCCCGGATCAGTTGCACTTTCACTCAGGCGTTTAAATGGCAACTCACTTTCTTGATGAGCATCTAATGGTAACAGGCTAGTCTGAGATGGTTCAATAGATGTGGCAGTAGTATAAGTTCCTTCCGGAATCCTCTCAAAAATGTTATCTGTTTCAGGAACACTAGTTTCATTCATGGGGGAATCGTCTTCACTTGTCTTCATTGCTTTTGTTGCTAAAATATGAGTTGGCATGTAATATTTTATTTAGAATCTAAAAAGAGGAGAAAACCTCATAGGTTTTGTGAATCCCAAAAAGCTCATATGTGCCATCGGTTGTCACTTACAACAGGTGTCAGGTTGACAATAATCAACTCAACAGGGGACACTTAGTCATTTATTCATAGTAAAATAGCTTAACTACTGAAGTTTTAAGAAGTTGAGCTTGCACAGAATTACTCCATCTGGGTGAGTCAATATGAATGGTCTCTATGGCATCGGAAAGATTCAGAACGGTTAATTGAACTTGATGAATGTCGATTGAATACTCATCTGTGAACACACCTAAGCTCAACCCGAATAAAACCTGGTAATATCTCTTATCCCCAGCCACTAGTGATTATCGATATAATCAATGACCTCATCAGTCAGAGTAACTGAACACCTAATTAAACCACGAGAATAATTATTTGCTTTCAAAAGACTGGCGTATTTTGGTTTAAAACAGCAGATAACTTTGATGGCATGAATCGATGCATCCGAGTTTATGAACGTAGATGGGAATTAACTACAAAGGGCAGTATCAATATTCACAGTCCTTTCTGGAAGTTACCTCGGGCCTTTGTCGAACAAAGCGCGAAACGCAAACCTGCAATGAATCGGTGCATAATTGCCGGTAACCATTTTGGCTTTGCGGTTCTACTGGTTAGAGAGATTTGCTGCATCGCCGTTGGATAAATCTATCTTTGGTCCGCTTACTCATGAGTAGCATGCTTAGTGTTCCACGTTATCTTAATGTGGATTTGGGCATCTGGTGCCTTCTATGCGGTTGAGCTTGGCAGACTACCGCCTTATCGGTGTGTTTATGACCTCATCTTCTGAGAATAACAACCAGGATTGGGTAAGTGATTCTCTAGAGAAAACGGAAGGATTTCGCATGGAAGACAGCAACCTAATATTCTAATCAAATGTTCTTTTACAGAAAATCCGTTATGGATTAAAAAGCAAAAGTATGACCTAAATAAGTTAGTCACAGTCAAGGTAAATCCAACTTACAACTAGGGTTATCTGTCGATAGAATATCAACCATTGATGCCGTTGTGCCCAGAGGTAAGTCGGGACTCGTAGATACGTTACCAAATGTTTCGTGGTTTGAATTCAACTTGGTTTCCTCATATTCAGCTGTTTGGACAGTTTTGGTATTCACACCAACATCAAAATAACTTGGTTCTTTGGATTCCAAAATGTTTTTCTGATTATCAAATGTGTTATCATATTCCAAGTCGTTTATTTTCGCTTGGTCTTCAGCTGGACCTTGATTCTGGAGTCCCTCCGGTGAGTTTTCGTGTTCAAGACCGTGCAAATTTGTGACACGATCAATAGGGATTTTCGCACGATGTGCCTCGGTCAGCTGATTATCTGTAACGATGTGTATATATCAGAAGATATTAATAATTGGCATGGAAAGAAAGGTAAGTAAAAGTTGAAAATTGACAAGAACTCTTTTAACTCAGTGCAAACTTAATGTTGCTTCAAACCGAAAATATGCTTTAACCTGATTATTCACCTGGCTAACCTCCAAGTTCACCCGTCTATAACGATAATTGCTCACTTTGAATCAGATCTGCTTCGTGATATCGAGTATTTTCCTTTTTATGATTGATATAATACACTATTTGATACTAAACTAAAATAAGGTACAGCACCAGTCAATATGTAGAACACATGTGGACATAAATCTCTCCAGCGGTTTCGTAAAAGTTATGGACTGACTGGATGAACAGCAACGGTCATTGGGTTTTGTTTCTCATCCCCGTGGAATTTCAGTACATTGTCTATCACTGTGATTATCTGAATAATAATAAATCATTTTCCAATTAGTTCAGAATAGTAATACATGCTGTTTCCGATTTGATATCCTTTTCCTCTCCTTGAAGCTGCTCGAACTGCTCTTGTGTGCTAAATGGGCATATGTTGCAATGTTGTGCTGTTTACAATATTTTAAATTCAACACTCACTATAACCCGACTGGGATGTTTTATTTGGCCGTCGGCCACAAAGAATTTGGGTGGTTTAACCTCTTTTTGATACCACAGTGAACACTCGTTCGTATGGTCAACGATTTAGAAGGATTGCAGATGTGATCTCAACTCAATCGAGTACCCATCATGAATGTTATTTGTGTGAGTATTTCCAGAGTACGAAACCTTTTTTTCCTTCGCTGTAGACTCATGCGAATAGATACACCAGATTTTTTTTTACCAGAACGCAGAATTTAGGTTCCTGAAGGAAAGTCATCGACTCTAATGGAGCAATGTAAAATAATTCGTATGAGTGATGCTATATTCGTACAAACAAGTATTGACCGTATTCTGCTGACCCTAGATTTATTGACCTTTGCAGTGGTTTTCTCATTGTTTGAATTCAATACAAATAATGTTACCGGACTTGCGTGAATGTTGGTTGAGTTGCAAACACAAGGACAGTTGTGTTTATTGTGAAGATGTGACAGTGTGACAGTATTTTGTACGTTTCTTCGATTTGTTCACTCGTAAATGTGCATGCTAATTGGATTGCATTAAAGATTGTTTCATCATGCGCTTTTAAAACCGCCACCTATTAAAAGAAAGCTAATAAGTAGGGTTTTCTAACGGCTTCCTGAAGTGCATTCCAGCTTTGTTCGCTTCCAGGGTCGGTTAAGATAAAAACCGGTTCTCATGCTATATTCCCTTTCGATTATTTTATGTTCTAATCTGAATTGTGTGCACTTCCTTTCTGTGTACGAGACAAGATATTTGATGAGGTTTTGTTTGTCTCACCTAGAGATAAAATAACTATGATTATGTATCGCTGTTTGCATTTTGCACACGCGTGTCTCATTCAGTCTGTTAGCCTTCCCAGTACGCACGACCTAGAGGAATTCCGACCCCGGACTCGACAGAACTATGTTGTCTAATGGCGCCAATATTTGTTTACATGTTACCCAGATTGCGTGATTTTTGGACGTCATTAGTTCGATAATGAAAAGAAAACCACAAATTTTCATTTGGTCAGTTTAAAGCATTCATTTTGGATGAGGTTCATTCTAAAATGCTCGGATGGAGATCAAAGCTACGTTGTCAGATGTACTTTTACGTGCATAATGTCTTGCTATCCGGACCACAGTTCATTTATTTGGTTGGGTCTTAAAATACCGTGGTACTACTTTTAGTAACTCGCAGGTTATTTACGTATATGCTGTTCTGTTTTGCTAGTGAGGTTTTTTCTGGTCTTGACGCTATGCTTCCCAAATAATCCGCAGAACATCAGCTAATGATGATGCCTATTTCATCAAGGTAATCTTCTGGGACGAGAAATAAGTATCCCGTAATGTTGTCACAAGCAAAGGGAAGACAAATCAAATCCCCTCAAATGTGTAATAATTGCCGGGGATTAACCATCAACTAAATACATTCATACGCCTAAACTGTACGTCACTAATTATTCTCTTGTGTAATATGGTTTTCAGTGTACGATAGCATATCAGACGGCCTCCGCGGTCGTCTGTGCACGCTTGCGGGATTTTGGGGGTCAAGAATAGTTCGAAACGAAATGTGAGGGGATTCGGTTCTGGCATTCTTTATTGATTTCTGGGATGAGAAAAAACGCTCAAATATTGTTTTAAACAGCAGAAAGACAAGTCAATTTCATTTGATCACGCGGTGATTTCCAGGGATTAGCCATCATCTTTATACTTTTGATACGGTTAAGGTATACACATCACTACGCATCTTGTAATGCATAAAATCATTTCAGTTGCCCAACACTCGGTGCAACTAGTCAACGAAATCTATTTTTGTGCATTTTACTCAAAAAACGTATGATATCAGAGTTAGTCATAAAACGGTAAGCCAGAAGACTCTCTTTTGATTCTCAATGACCATCCTTGATATTTCATGTTGCACAACTCATCCCGGTACCGGCATGCGTTCGAGAAGCGGAAGCTCATGGAGTGGCTTTCATTGGAGTTCATCCTTACTACAACCCCATCGGTTATTGGCTCAGTTCTATGTAGACTTGATGGTCAAACAATTAACTTAGTGATTGTGGTTATCCTCAGTATGTGCTGTCTTGCATGGTTACAACACGCTTTTCCGAAAACTGACGTGTGCAGTTTCAGCCAGGTTGGTATGTATGCACAGTTGTTGAGCACCAACGAAGCGAACTTCAGTCCGGTGGGCTTATAAGTATATGGTTGATTGAATGAGTTGTTAATTTACGTCTACAAGATGGGATTAAAAGCAATGGCCAGTCAGGTCCCAGTTTCACTGATGGTTGTCGCTGTTTGTGTCCCCCGGGGAACATATTTTAATGCATCATGCAGTTACTGATCACAGTTCTGTATGACTTATCTAATCAAACTAATAAGGAACACGTGGATTACTGCAGCAGTTTTTACTCTTTTGGAGTTCTTCAAATAAGCACTGCAGAATATTTTTGTTCTGCACACAAAATGTGTCATTCTAAAACAAATGATGATGCGCTCGAAGTGTATGTTTCATTTATTACCCAACGGTGTAGAAAGCCGTTATCCAAATCGTTCTATAAGCGTCAAATGCAAACATGAACAATAAGAAGCGATATTCGGATTCATACAAGAGAGTTTGATTATTTTCAAACTGAAATTTGAAAGTCTTCTTAAAATGGTTACAAAGCATCTACTGGTAGGTATGTTCTCGGAAACAACAAGATCTATTCGACGAATTCAGAGTTTTTGGAGAAAAAGAACTACAAAATGATAGCAAAAGAGTACTTGATTCAATGGTCTTTCATTTCACGCGTTGTTTGTTCATACATTACGTAATTCACAGTATAACTGAACCAGATCCTACATTACTCTTATGAAGCAAGTAGTCAGCTTCGAAATGTACCAAATGCAGTGATAACTTCGGAGGACAGAGCTAGGTTTGTGCTGTGAATAGCTACCCGATGTTCAGATGGGTGCTGGTCTTCCGTTGTACCTGTTCGTACCGGGCTTTGATTCCCATTTGACATCGACAGATTCGCACTGCTGGTGGGAGGCAACTAGATCAAACAGTTGCTTATTTAATTTGATCTGCACAAAACTAATAATATATGCAGAAGGAAATTACTGTTCATGAATGTGCTTACCCATTTTATCCATCTCCACGCTGCTGTCATGTGATTGTGAAGTGCTTATGTTTTCTATGGGGTTGTTGGTGCTTTGAATGTCTACAGTTTCCATGTTTCGTGAACTAATTTCTTCAATGTTGTCATCCTGAAATGGTCCGTTGACATCAGGCTGCGTAATAACAGTTGAGCTTTCAGTTGTGATAGATGCATCCAGCTGATCAACCAAAAGTCCCATGGATTGCTGGCTTCTAGCGTTAGATCCGTAATCATCCACAGTATGATTGGTAATTTGCTCTGGAATGTATACATAGCACTTGGTAGTTAAGGATGATTTAAAACTCTTTAATGATCATTGTTCTCAAAACGATGTGTTATTCCCACAAGCATCATGGATAACAACAACAAAAACATCATCAAGCTATTCCGTAATACAACATTTCGACTACTATAATTGATATCACTTTAACTTTAGTTATAATTCATCTCAGTATCTTTCATTACATTAGTAGTTTACATCTTTTGTAGATAATGTCGGAAAAATATTTACACGGTTAATCCAATAGCCGCTGCTCTTTACAAGGAGCTTGACAATTTACAGCAGAATAATTTAATAAACCTGACGTGTAAACTGGTTTCCACACTAATTGGTACACCCAAACGTTTCTGTCGGGAATCAACTTATTAGTCGATGTGTTGGACTGATACTTCAAAGGAAACTAAGTTTTGATATGACAATGGACAAGATTTTTAAGTTGTCAAGTTATGTTCCTTCAGTTTTTCGTGTTCGCAAAAATAAGCATCAACGACACTACAGGGGAATCGAAGCGAACAGCTGGCGTCCTATTTCATGTGTATTTACCTGAATGCTTATGATAATGTTGTGCATGAACAATTTCAAAACGAGATTATGCGACCTAACCAGACGCAACTTACAGTTCTGGAACACTGTCATTCTAAACATTGCATATGATTGGTGGGCTAATGTTTTGACTGCAAAAAGGTAACACTTATAACATCAGTCCATAGTTACGTGCCCATTGTGTTCATGCAATTTTCGCATTTTTTCACATCACGTTTCTAAGCAGGCACAAAAGTTTACAAAAAGTGGATCAAATACAACCTTGAACAAACGGGACTGAGCTTAACTACCTGGCAGTGCTGTACTCTTGTAAGTCGCATAGAACCCGGTCGCTCGACGTGGCCATTGATTTGCTTGAAACACAATGAGAAGGCTGGACCCGGTCGTGTGATACGATCGCCCATTTAGGGTACCACAGAGAATATCTTTCAAAGGAGCCGATTCGTCCACCCCCTCGAAAATCACGACTTTTTCGAAGGTACATGAAGGTAGTCCGACCTATAGAACAAACAGTCATAGTTGTTGAGTTTTTCTACACTGATTCACAAAATCATGGTTATAGATTATTCAACAGTTACATGTTTGATACGAAAATTGAAACAAATACACATTTCGCGCTTCGTATGCTTGTTTGCCACTCTACTCAGCAGAAGATAGGTTTCAATGATGAACCTATCACTGAAATTTTGATTAGCGAATAGGTTACCAAAGATTTCCAAGAAAGGAATCGTGACAGCGGTGATTTTTTTAAAATGCTGATTTCTATGGACGATGATAAAACAGTTCATGGAGCTTGTCTGATACCAACTGAAAATTACTAATTCTCATAATGTTGGGAATATTCTGGAACTTTGTATCGTTTACATAGAAATAAGCAGGTACTGAGAAGGAGCGATCAATATCAGTTATATTATGCATAAGACTCAGTCTGTAGATTGATCACAGATGAACGCTCATTTTAAACTGGTTACAAGCCAGGAGCATTGGAAGTGAACACTTACGGTTGCTTTTTGAAATACCGATAAGTTTCCATAACGTTTCCATGTACAGCGATATTGACGAAACTCATTTCAACTTCCCAAGTAGCTGCACACATTACGCGCATTTCCAACTAGTACCCTGTGAGTATAAGTAAGAACTGGGATAATCAAATATATAATCGTTCTTTTGGTTTGAAGGCATCAATTGAAGGAAAAGCTTGTTCCAAAACTACCCCGGCCCGTCAAGAAAGCGGTAGAATGCAACTCATTTGTTTTCGTATTTAATCCCCGGGTAAATGCCCAGGTAATGGAGACGAATGAAGGGCTGATTCAGCAAAAACGATCAGTTATCTGTCTGCTGGTAGATATTATAATTGAACAGGAATCCTAATGGTGTTTGAATTCAACACCACCTACGCAGAGATCACAGCATGTGTTGGTCTCAATGCAGAGATGCTATCGGTTGGAGAATTTCATGCTCGTAGTTCTGTTTCACCTGGAAAGCATTAAGCTTGAGCAAAGCAATCTATGCACTTGACGGTTTACCTTTTCGCAATGAACAATGCCATCTAACACGCAGAAGAGAGCATTTTGAGACAGCTAAGGTGAACCTCAATTTCAGCTTTCCCTACAGCTACTAATTACCATATACCGTCGTTTATCCCAACCTACTGACCTCCAAAACCGGAGATCTACCTAGAAACCTGAGACGTATGTGGAAGACCACCATGCATTATTCCTCCAGCCGATCGTCTATGCAGTGATAAACTTTTAACAGTACGGCAGTTTACTAGATCACCTTGATGCTTTTCAAAGGCCGAAAATCTGTAAACATTTAAACATACGTGCAATCATCAGTTCTTTCGATAAAAATGAAACATTGAACTGTCTGTTAAGAAATCGAGTATCCGAGAATTATGTGTCAATCCTGAAAGATGCGCTTCGTCAAACGTTAGATCAATTCAGATCCCACGGATAGTTGCGCTCCAATCGGCCGTCTCCAGTGTACGCTGAGTAAAAGGCTGCTTTATGTTTCATTCATCTTTAACTTGCCATTGCAGATAATATAAAATATACTTTGTCGAGTCTGGTGAACAGTGGCACAGATCTCCACCTAAGAAACAGTTTTGTTTACTTGGGATACACCAATGAAATCGTCGTGCTGGTTGACAATACCTGAAGAGTGTTGAATGCCTAAACCCGTTTGATGATCGTGGTATTCATATAGGCTCTCTGTTTATCGCCATCCAAATGCAAGGCGTTTTTAATAGACTGATAAGGCGCCGTGCTATCAGACGGAAGAACTTTCAACTTTTCAATACATCTAATTGGTGTAGAGTAAGAAATCACAGCATTATTTAAAAAAATTGCGTGTACTTTCGCCAACATACACCTCTTGTGGCTCCCCAATGACCGCTGACTTCCCCCTGGAGGGTGAGCGAAAATCACCTCGATTTATACCTATTTTACTTTGTGGTTGTGATGAACCAATTTATGAAGCAATCTTAAGAAATGTATTTCTTGGGNTTTCTTGGGTACAAGTATGTGAATGAGGCGACACAGGATTACCGGATTTGCATGCCTGACAGGCGGCAAGAACTACGAAACCGGCCATGTGCTCCCAGGGAAATGTTGTTCAGTCAATCACATACTACCTATTGTAAAATATCACATAAAGGCGGGTAAGCCACGTTTGTTGCGGTTAGTAGTATCTATCCCACCTGAAAACATCGAATCATAGTACTGATTCACCAATGGACTGGATTTGAAAGAGCTGTTCAAACCAATTCACTCGGTTTTGCAAATGA